AGGCCCCCAAGGTCGCCTCAGAGGTCTCCAAAATGGCCCCGTGACGGCCCAAGAGGCCCGCCCCAAGAGGGCCCCAATACTGCCCAAGAGGCCTCCAAGACGCCCTCGATGGCCTCGAAGACGGCCAAGATGGCCCAATATGGCATCCAAGATGTCTCGAAGACGGCAAAGATGGCCCCAAGATGCCACTAAGACGGCTCTATATGCACCGAAGACGGCCTTAGATGGCCTCAAGCTGACCCAAGACGGTCCAAGACGGCCCAAGAGGCCTCCAAGAGGTCCTCCAGGAAGGCCCGAAGAGGCCAAAATCATTGATTTTCCTTAGGTTGTTGGAGGATTTGGGCATTTGCGCATGTTCGGCCTTCCGACGGCCCAAGAAGGCCCAAGAGGCCCCCAAGGTTGCCCGAAGATCGCCCAAGAGGCCTCCAAGATGGCCTCGTGACGGCCCAAGAGGCCCCCAAGACGGCCATAAGACAGCCCGAAGACGGTCGAAGAGGCCTCCAAGACGCCGAAGATGGCCTCCAAGACGGCCCTGAGGCGCCCCAAGAGGGCCCGAAATCGGTTCAGAGAGGCCCCTAAGACGGCTTCCGACGAACGCCCTAAGACAGCCAAAGGGGCCCCTAAGAAGCCCCCAAAGACCCCCAAGAGGCCCAGGGAGGCTTCAAAGGCGCTCAATTCCCCAACAAATCCTCCAAGACGGCTCACCCGTTGGCCCAGAAAGGCCCCCAAGACGGCTGCCGACGGCGTCAGACGTGCCAGGAACCCACCAAGATGGCTGAAGTTGGCTCGAAGCTGGCCCAAAAGGGCCCAAGAGGCCCCCAAGAGGGTCCCCAGGAAGGCCAGAAGAGGCCAAAAACATAGATTTTCCTAAGGTGTTTGACGGATTTTGACATTTTCTTCTTTTCGGCCTTCCGACGGCCCGAGACGGCCCAAGACCCCCCAAAGGTCGCCGAAAGATCGCCCAAGAGGCCTCCAAGACGGCCAAGATGACCTTCAAGATGCCCACGTGTTCTCCGAAGGCTTTCCAAACCGATTCGGGGAACACATGGTCCGATGGCTTGGCAGGTCTGGCCCCAACGTTCGGCCACATAGGCGCTTCCACAAAGGCAGGGGGCGGCGGTGATTCGCCGTAGGCGTCTTCGATAAATGCAAAGTGAGACGGGGAGGGAGGGAAAAAGAGAGGAGGGACGAGGGCGGAGGAGGATCACATCAGTCGGAGCGCCCCGGATCGGCGGCACTGGCCGGAGGCCACTACAATATCGACTCAGGACGAAAAACTTGCCATAGGGAAGTGGTCCAGACCTCCAGGGCCCGCGGTTCCAAAACATCGGAGCGGCCGGATGTCTGGGGAGGAGGAGCAGCGGTGCAGCCGAAGAGGGGTGACAGCCACGCCCAAGCAGCCAAGCGCGCGTGGGCGGCACGGTGGGCCACCATGGGCGGTCTGTAGTGGTTTGGCGCACCAAGCTGGACGCCCAGGCCACCTCACGGGGGGGGAGGATGAGGACACTCCCACAACCGTCGCTTCTCACCGCATGCCGTCATTCCCACCCTCCTCCGGCTCCTGAGGCATGCAGCCGTCCTCCGTCCTCGATCTCTTCTCTTCCTCGTCTTGCTGTCGCCTACCTCTTATACTCAACTTCGCCCCGCCGGTTGGCCACCAAGGCCTCCTGGTGTACTAGTTTGACCACCCTTCCAGGCCCGACCGGCCCTGGGGGGGGAGGGGATGGCCACGCCAGGATGACTTCATGGCCGAGAGAAGAGAGAGAGAGAGAAACAACAAATAAAGAAAGATATAATCACAGAGAGGAAGAGAGAGGAAGAGAGAGGAAGAGGAGGAGGAGGAGGAGGAGGAGGAGGAGGAGGAGGAGCAGGAGGAGGAGGGGGAGGAGGGAGGAGGGAGGAGGAGGAGGAGGAGGAGGAGGAGGAGGAAGAGGAGGAGGAGGCGGAGGAAACAGGAGGAGGCGGAGAAGGTCTGGGGCCCAGAACGCCTCGATTTTTTGCTGGCCCTCAGAACAGCACCGAGAACAGACGAAAATGCCTAAACACCTCAAACGTCATCGCGCGCAGCCGATCTCCGGTGCCCCCCGCGGCCTCGAACAGGCGGCCGCCCGGTCTGAAGTGGTTGGTGCCCTAGAAAATCCGTTCAACATCGGACCCCAAAACCCTCCCGGGGCCCAGCTGGTGCACTTTCTCGCCACGGATCTGTTGTTGACGGTGCCGGGGCCCGAAGAGGGCCCCCGGAGGCAGAAAGAGGCGAAACAACCTTCCCGAAGCCAGAGCCTCGAACCTGCCCGCCCTTCCCGCTAACCAAAACCAAAACCATAACCAAATCTGGCCAGCGCTGGGCCACCGCGAATCCCCAGCCGGTTTCAATATGGAAACAGGTGATACCGCGGGTTCGTGTCGTGTTGACGCCGGCGTTGGTTCCTGACACCCTGGGGATCGTTCCACCTTCGCCGATCGGCCGTCGTCCAAACGTCAGATCGTTTCACGTCGACGCCCAGACCCAGATCCCCGACGTCATGATTCGCTCATAACGTCGACCCACAAAGGTCTCGACCCGTTACCCAGGGCCGGCTTCATCGTGAATTTTGTTTTGACGGTACCGAGGCCCAGTAAGGGCCCCCATGAAGCTGAAAATAACAAATTGGCCTGGCGAAGGACCCAACCATATGCAGTTGTGAGTAATGCTGGTGTGAGTACCGTCTTCGGTGGATCTCCCTATGGGGCCACGAACCGTTTGAGGGGTGTGCCGAAATGGGTGTGGGGGCGGCATGCGAACGTTGCCACTGGGGCCTTCGGTGGAGCTCCTTATGGGGCCACGAAACGTGTGAGGGGTGCACCGAAGTTGGTGTGGGGGCGGCATGCGAACGCAGCCACTGGGGCCTTCGGTGGAGCTCCCTGTGGGGCCACGAAACGTGTGAGGGGTGTGCCGAATTGGTGTGGGGGCGGCATGCGAACGCAGCCACTGGGGCCTTCGGTGGAGCTCCCTGTGGGGCCACGAAACGTGTGAGGGGTGTGCCGAAATTGGTGTGGGGGCGGCATGCGAACGCAGCCACTGGGGCCTTCGGTGGAGCTCCCTATGGTGCCACGAAACGTGTGAGGGGTGTGCCGAAATGGGTGTGGGGGCGCATACGAACCCAGTCACTGGGGCCTTCAGTGGAAATCCCCATGGGGCCACGAAACGTGTGAGGGGTGTGCCGAAATGGGTGGTGGGGAGGCATACGAACCAGGCCACTGGGGCCTTCGGTGGAGCTCCCTATGGGGCCACGAAACGTGTGAGGGTGTGCCGAAATGGGTGGTGGGGAGGCATGCGAACCCTGCCACTGGGGCCTTCGGTGGAGCTCCCTATGGGGCCACGAAACGTGTGAGGGGTGTGCCGAAATGGGTGGTGGGAGAAATGCGAACGTGGGGAGGGGTGTGCGGAGCTCCCTATGGGGCCACGAAACGTGTGAAGGGTGTGCCGAAATGGGTGGTGGGGAGGCATGCGAACCCTGCCACTGGGGCCTTCGGTGGAGCTCCCTATGGGGCCACGAAACGTGTGAGGGGTGTGCCGAAATGGGTGGTGGGGAGGCATGCGAACCCTGCCACTGGGGCCTTCGGTGGAGCTCCCTATGGGGCCACGAAACGTGTGAGGGGTGTGCCGAAATGGGTGGTGGGGAGGCATGCGAACCCTGCCACTGGGGCCTTCGGTGGAGCTCCCTATGGGGCCACGAAACGTGTGAGGGGTGTGCCGACATGGGTGGTGGGGAGGCATGCGAACCCTGCCACTGGGGCCTTCGGTGGAGCTCCCTATGGGGCCACGAAACGTGTGAGGGGTGTGCCGAAATGGTGGTGGGGAGGCATGCGAACCCTGCCACTGGGGCCTTCGGTGGAGCTCCCTATGGGGCCACGAAACGTGTGAGGGGTGTGCCGAAATGGGTGGCGGGGAGGCATGCGACCCTGGGGGCCTTCGGTGGAGCTGGGGCACGAAGCGTGTGATGGGTGTGCCGAAATCGGTGGTGGTGATGATGATGATGATGATGATGATGATGATGATGATGATGATGATGATGATGATGATGGGAGGAGGGAGGGGGGGGGCGGAGGAGGAGGAGGAGGAGAGAAAACGCGGGGCACCGTCTCTTCAAAACGAGGACCCAACACCACAGGATGGTTGGGAATTACCTCCCGCCGTGACTTTTGTTCATGACTCGAGGCGTTCTGGGGACGGCACCAAACGCGGCATTTTCGGACGCTGCGCGACCGGTCGTTTCCGAAGCGTCAGATCGTTTAACATCGACAGATTATGTGTCGTCGGCGGCGTTCACGGTGGGCGCCTGCGGCGGGGTCGCCGCGGGTCGACGCGATAGTAAAAAGGAGGAGGGGGAGAAGAAGGAGAAGGAAAAGGAAGAGGAGGATGAGGAAGGAGGAGGAGAAGGAGGAGGAGGAGGAGGAGGAGGAGGAGGAGGAGGAGGAGGAGGAGGGGGAGGAGCTTCCCACAGCTTTCCTCCCCAGCCGCGATGGTTGTTGGCCGCCGCGGCGCGCCGCGTCGGCGCGGGCCGCCGCCGCCCAGGGGGCCGCGACCCTGGGGACCGCCCCCTCTCCCTGCGCGCCTGGCGGAGGCGCAAGGACCAATGCTGGCGAGCGCGTGCTCTGGCGAGTTCGCGCTCCACCCCCGAGATCCTCGGCGCCCCGCGGCGAACCCTCGCTATGGCCGCCATCGCGAGCACTCGCCGCGACGTGCCTTCCAAGGAAGATGGCAACACTGGCACCCGAGCCAGCTCCAGGTCTCGTCGTGGTACTCGTGCTGGTTGGGTGTCCGTCGTGCTGGTGCTCAGCCCGCGCCCTCGGGGCCTCCGCCACGGCATGCCGCTCCCGCTGGGTCAGTCGCGCGCGCAGCCGCAGGAAGCGCCCCGCGCCGTCCGCGGCCTGCGCCCGTCGGCTCGCTTGCAGCTGGCCCTCCACCTTCTCGTACAAGGCTTCGCGCTCGCGGGGGCGGCCGCCAACGCCTCTTGGACCAGCGCCTCCGCGCAGGCCTCGGACGGCGTCTCGCTCCCACCAGGGCCGCCGCCAGCCGCGGCCGCGCTTTCGGCCAGCGCCCTCGCCAAGGCTGCGGCCAGCCTCGTGGGCTGCCTGCCTCGGTGCTGTGCCAGCTCCCCGGAGCAGCGCATCAGGGGCTCCGCGACCCGCGCCTCCGCCCGGAGACACTGGGCCCTGCGAGCGGCCGCGGAGCGCGGCGGGCGGCGCCGCGGGCGCCACCGGTGCGCGGCGGCGGCCTCCATGGCGTCGGGCTGGGCGCCTGGGAGGCGGAGGGGGGGAGGGCGGGGGGGCGGAGGGGGGGGCGGCGCCGCCCCAGCGGCGCCGTGGCGCTGGCTGGCCTCGGGCGCTGCGCTCGTGCCAGCTGCTGCTAGGGGAGGAGAGGAGGAGGAGAGAGGAGAGGAGGAGAGGGAGGGGAGGAGGAGGGGAGGAGGAGGAGGAGGAGGAGGAGGAGGAGGGGAGGAGGAAAAGGGGAGGAGGAGGAGGAGAAGGAGGAGGTGGAGGAGAGGAGGAGGAGGGGAGGAGGAGGACGAGGAGAGAGGAGGAGGAGGAGGAAAAGGAGGGGGAAGAGGAGGAGGGGCGAGGATGAGGAGGAGGAGGAGGAGGAGGAGGAGGAGGAGGAGGAGGATGAGGAGGAGGAGGACGAGGAGGAGGATGAGGAGGAGGACGGAGGAGGAGTGACGTGTGAGGAAAGATGGGGAGGAGCGAGGAAAATCGACGCAAGTACGATCAAGCTGCTGCCTCAAGAAACTCTACATGAGAAGCGGAGCTCCTTTCTGGCACCAAGGGGCCTTTTTTTTCGGGGCGGGGGCGTTTTTTTCGGAGCAGGGGCAGCTTTTTCGGGGGGAGGGGGGAGGAGGAGAAGGAGGAGGAGGAGGAGGAGGAGGAGGAGGAGGAGGAGGAGGAGGAGGAGGAGGCAGAGGAGGAGGAGGAGGAAAGAGGGGGAGGAGGAGGCGGAGGAGGACCCAAGGACGGAGGAGGAGGAGGATGAGGAAGAAGAAAGAGGAGGAGGAGGAGGAGGAGGAGGAGGAGGAGGAGGAGGAGGAGGAGGACGAGGAGGAGGACGAGGAGGAGGAGGACGAGGAGGAGGAGGACGAGGAGGACACGAAGCCCAGGAAGGCAACTCCAGCCCGAGATGCGCTGCTGCGCAGCTTTCAGGGCACTGGTGTTGAAATTGTGGTCGTAGGCGTTGTCGGCGATTGTCCGTGGCGGATGATGCTGTGTTGCTCAGGTGGTACAACGAAGCTGTGCGCAAGGCAGCTCGCTGAAACTCATCATCTTCGACCTGTTCATCCGGAAGCCCGAGGCCGAGTCGGACAATCGGTCGCGCTGAAGGGATCCATTGCGGGAGGGAGACTCCATGCCAAGCTCGCGGGCGCTGGGGGCAATGGCATGCGTCGCCCTCGGCCTGGCAACCGACCCGGCACGTCAGGCGCCCGACGAGAACGTGGGTTCGCAGCACACCCCAGGCTTCAGGGTGGCGAGGGTGGCGCGGAAGCGGTGCCAACGGTCCTGGAGGTCGCCAGGCGCCGCCTCGCCATCACCAGCCAGCCAATTCTCCGACCTCTTCCCGATGGCCACGTGGAAGGAATCGTCATGGAGCTCCTGGGCCATGGGCTGGCAAGTTGCCTTCTGGACGGGCACGCTGTCGCGCCCCTGCGGACGCCTCGCATGCTGCTCGAGCTCCCGCCGGGCCCTGTTGAGAGCCGCTGCCGCGCGAACGCCGTCACGACGGAGACGAGCGTGAGGGCGCGCCGAGAGGTGGTCATCGAACGCCAGGACCATGGCACGTTGCTCCTTCCAAAATGGAGGAGACCACACGCCCTACCACCCGTGTCGCCAATCCCTCCTCGAGCGCATGCTCACGCAAGCTTTCCGCCCGTCGCGGCCACGTCGGCATGGTGACCGCCGCTGCGCGCCACATCGTAGCGAATGACAGGGCGAGCATTTTGATTTGCACGCGGGTGATCGACTGCCGAACACTCCTGCCCGTGGCGCCGAGGCGACGAGCGATGGGCCCGATGGGGGCCGAAAGAAACGAGGGACGGAGACCCAGGGCCCAGACAACGCCGAGCGAGGGCCACGACCGAAGAAAACAGGGGCACGAAAAATCGAGGGCCCGAGTAAGTCAACGCGATGCTGGAACGGCCTGGGGGAGTTAAATTTAAACTCCTGTGCAGAGGGCTTCAGCACACAGCCTCAACCTCCCTCAGGCTGCCAGCACGCAAAGAGAGACAAGACAGATTCGAGAGGTACCTCTGAAGCCTGCATTCTTACAAATCTCATCATAAAACCTCCACAACCCGAACACGAGAGAGACCTGGATAGCCGACATACTCAGCGCAAGGGCGTGGAGGAGACGGGGAGGAGGCTCAGGAAAATCATCAAGGAGGCGGCCTAAAGAGAGACTGAAGACATCCTCCCATCCACTCTCATACGTCGTCGTCATCCCTCCCCCACCCGCAGCTACAGAGCACACAGCAGGAGGTGGAGGAAGGATCTGCCTCAGACCGCGCGTTTGCCGCGGTATCGAACGCGGTCGGACGCATCGCAGGGCTCAGAGAGGCGGAGCGAGTTCGGGGCGAACGTGAACGGGATCGCAGGGATCACGTAGTCGCCCATCGCAAAGATGTTCGCGTCGTGGGTCGCCGTGCCGAGGGACCCGGGTCCACTACCGCGGCCGTCAGGAATAGTGGCCGTGCAGAGGCACGGCTGGTAGATGGTAGCGGTGAACGTCGACATCACGTCGTAGGTGCCGACGCCATCAACCTGATTATCGTCATCATGGAGCAGATTTGCACGAACAGGAGCTTCACCCAGTCGAACTCCGGAGGGAAGTGCGGCATCGCCGACACTATCAGCAGAGACCACACCATCGGCACGATGAGGAACTAGATGGACAGCTCCCAGGGCCTCCTCTGGAGGCGGTGATGTCGAAACCTTCGGTGAAGGGGCATCCGACGTGGGAGCAGTCATCAATGTCGAAGTAGCCGTCAATGCAGGCGAAGAAAACAGTAAGGCCGAAGTCGCAGTCTTCAACGTAGCATCTGAAGGCTGCGATGCCGTAGCCTGCAAACCCGTAGAACATGGCGTTCCGCCCAACTCCATCATCACCGAGTCCAGGAAACTGGTAGCGGAAACACACGTGACATGACGGGTCAGGTTGTAGGCGTGGCCCAGGCGGGCAAGCTTGTGCGCAGTGCCGGTTGTAATACGACCAGCTCGACGAAGAACACGACCCGCCTGCTCGAGACCTTCGAAGTGCGTGCCAACAACTAACGAAAGCCGTCGGATCAACTCCCCATGAAGATCAGCAATGATCGTGTGTGGAGCAGCAGACATCACGGAGAGAATGGGGAAACCTTACAGGCGTGCCGCGTGCCAGTCGCTGGCAGGGCCAGCCACCTTGAGCCAACAAATGGCTACGGATGACAGGGCGAGCAACGAGGAAAAGAACGACATGGACGCCCATCGCCGCATGCTGAGCAAATCGATGTTGATGAATGCCTTCGGAGGGCAGCGCAGGACACGAAGTAAACCATCAAGCTCGCTGAAGTACAGTTTGGCGTCTCGGACGAAGAACTGCATTAGGTAGCTCAGCACGGGCAACCCGCCGAATTGTAGTCGCGCAAAATTGCCTCGTTGGGCACCGCGCAATCCTGGAATAAACGCAAGCGCAAATTTCACTTGCCTGCCGCATCCGCCCACTGACTTTCGTTCGTTGCGCCTGGGCCGAGTTTGGCGCCCAGGAGGAGGAGGAGGAGGAGAAGGAGGAGGAGGAGGAGGGGGAGGAGGAGGAAGAGGAGGAGGAGGAGGAGGAGGACGGAGGAGGAGGAGGACGGAGGAGGACGGAGGAGGGGGAGGAGGGGGAGGAGGAGGAGGAGGAGGAGGAGGAGGAGGAGGAGGAGGAGGAGGAGGAGGAGGAGGAGGAGGAGGAGGAATATGCTGGAATATGCTGAAAGCGCACGCACGTGCTTCGCAACCAAAGCCCGTGGGGTCGCAGGAGGAACACGAGCCTCCGCAAACCCAAGGCTGCAGCGCCCCAGGAGGAACACGAGCCTCCGCGGCGCGAAGCTGCCGCTGGGCGCAGGAGGAACACGAGCCTCCGCACCCAGGGAAGCCAGAGCCGCAGGAGGAACACGAACCTCCGCATAACTGGGGGCGCAGGAGGAACACGAGCCTCCTTTCCCGAGGCAGGCAAGTCGCAGGAGGAACACGAGCCTCCGCGGCACGGGGGCGCAGGAGGAACACGAGCCTCCGCCACTCAAAACTTGGCCGGCTTCACGACCCAGCCTCGCCGAAGTCGATCGCCTCGAAGCCCGCGTCGACGGCCTCCTCACAGGCGGCCAGATGCACGGCACGGGCCGACTCCAGCTGGGCCTCCAGCCCAAACACGACGCACGCGGTGCCCTCGATCTTCTGCTTGGCAGCGCTGAGGGTCAGCGTCGCGACCTCCACCGCGTCGTCCTGCGGCTTCTTGACCTTCACCCCGATGTGCTGGTCCTCGTCGGCCTCCTTAGGCACCTTCTGCACGCAGGCCTCCACGGAGACGTCGATGACCTCATGCACCAGGCTGGGGTCCCCGCTTGGCTTGCACTCGGCCTGCTTCTGCTCAACGTGCTGGTTGGCCGCGGAGGTGCTGCTCGCCTCACTGAAGTGCCCCTCCTCGCACTCGCCTGGCTCCGCCGCCAGCCGCAGGTTGGCCTTCTCCTTGATATTTCGTCCGCTGCGCTGCCTCCGCCTGGCCTCATTGCCATCCTGCGGGAGGTTGTCCGCGCCGCAGCCCATGTTCAGGTGCAGGCCCGTGTTGCGCATAGCCTTCATGTCGCCGTTGAGGGCTGGGTCCCCCGACGCTCCACCATAGCCAACCTAGCCTTGACCTCCTCCTGGACGGCATCGGGGGAGCCGTCGAGGGAGGTACGAAGTGCGGCCGCCACCATCGCCGCAGCAGCCTGACGGGAGGCCCCGCCCGCAGCAGCACCAAGCGCCGCCGCCAAGACGTGTGGCGCACTCGCATGGGCGCACACTAACATTGCCACGGACTGGCAAATATCGACCGTAGCCATGCCCGAGCGCGCCTGCACAGTAAGGAGGGGACCGAAACCGGGCGAAAAAACGCACAGAGCCAGCTTGAGCCAAAATGGCTACGGCAGGAGGAAGAGGAAGAGGAGGAGGAGGAGGAGGAGGAGGAGGAGGAGGAGGGAGGAGGAGGAGGAGGAGGAGGAGGAGGAGGAGGAGGAGAGGA